CGGAGGCCTATCTCCACATTCCGATCTTGCCAGAACACCGCAGGTTCCTGAGGTTTGCCTACGCCCACCGGCACTACCAGTATCGGGCCCTTCCTTTTGGCCTGTCCTCAGCCCCCCGGGTCTTCACGAAGGTTCTGGCAGTGCTGGCGGCTCATCTACGGATGAGACCGGTGCGTGTCCAGTGTTACCTGGACGACATTCTCGTATTGTCCAGGTCCCTTCACTCGGCAGAGTCGGATCTACAGATTACCCTGCGGACTCTTCAAGATCACGGTTTTTCCGTGAACTTCGGAAAGAGCCACACGGTCCCCACAAAGCGTCTTATACATCTAGGAGCCTTAATAGACTCAGACCTTTGCGAGGTTTACCTTTCTCCGGAGCGTCAGGTCAGCATCCGGACACTGGCTCTCCGGGTCCGCAAGGACAAGTGGGTACCACTGGTGCGTCTCTCACAACTCCTAGGGAAGATGGTCTCTTGCCTAGGCATCGTGCCATGGGCCAGACTTCATTCCCGGAGCCTCCAGTGGTTCCTCCTCCCATATCAAAGGCACAACCTCAGTGCATCACATTCAAGGGTCAGGGTTCCCCACCAGACGCTGGTATCCCTACTCTGGTGGACTTCTTCCGCCATTTCCAGGGGTACTTTCTTCAAGGAGCTGTCCAGGATCACCCTGACCACAGACGCCAGCCTATTCGGCTGGGGGGCTCATATCCACAATCACCTCGCCCAGGGCCGGTGGTCACGATCAGATCTGACCCACAATATAAATTGGTTAGAACTGAGAGCAGTTCATCTGGCTCTTCGGGAATTCTCTCCCCTGGTAAAAGGAAAACACATTCTAGTCCTGACGGACAACATCACAGCAAAAGCGCATATAAACAAGCAGGGAGGGACCCACTCTTGGCCTCTCATGCAGGAAGCCATGACGTTGGGTCTCTGGGCGGAAACCAACCTGAGATCCATCCGGGCGGATCACATCTCGGGGGTGAACAACCTACAAGCGGACTCCCTGAGCAGAGCCACCATAGACCACTCAGAATGGAAGCTAGATCCATTCCTGTTCAGGGAGGCTGCACTCAGGTTCGGGCAACCGGTCCTAGACCTCTTTGCTTCCCCGGCAAACACGCAGATCCCAAGGTTCTTTTCCAGGTTCAGA